CACACACACACACACACACACACATACACACACACACACACACACACACACACACACACACACACACACACACACACACACACACACACACACACACACACACACACTGTTAGTCCCACAACGCCCTTTGCTGGGGGCATATTCATTACAACAGACACCTATACACTCCCTAACCCTAACCCTAACCCTACTGTTTATTTGTAGATATCTCCTAAAGCCTACAAATAAAGTGTGAAATGTGGGCTGCCTGTTACATATATTATTGAGCGATATATATTATACAAACTGTTCTGTTTCTGCACTGACCTCAGCAGCTGTTCTCACTGTAAATATCGCGTCACAATGAAAGCAGTTGTATTAAAAAAATATATAGCTTAACATCCAGGGGAGATGTAATTAGTGAGTAAACAAACGGTAAAGGGCAGAAAGTCTGATGCACATTTTATCATCTCAAATAACTTATAATCACAACGGGAACAGTTTGCAGAGCTTTGCTTCGTTGGCATAAGTCCAGCCATGCGTCACGCCTCTTTTAAACATCACTGTTGGCTGAAATCGACTCCGGAGGATACATCCCTCGGTTATAGCTCCTCCAGAGAGACTCCTCTCTCCTCTCTCCTCTACATCGTTGTACCCTCGGTTATAGCTCCTCCAGAGAGACTCCTCGAAAATCGATCCTCGACGAGCCTTTAGAGAAATTTGTTTTCCTTCGAGACGGCGCGCCAACATATTTCAAATTGCCTTCCATAAGCCCTGCCCCCCAGGAAGTCGGCCATTTTGAAAAATTTGCGTTTTTCAGCCATTTTAAGCACATTCTTGCGAACTCCTCCTAGGGGAATGATCGGAAAAATTCCAATCCAGGACAAGTTCAGCCCCTATCCAATATGATACTTAATTGCGAAGCACATTTTTGAAAAATCACTCGTGGAGGTCGTAAGCTAACAGCGAATACACCATTTTTGACGATTTACATGGCGCAAATTGCTGCAAACTGCTCGCATATAGTTTTTCCGATATTCACAAAACGCTGTATACACATTGCTATTATGATTGCACACATATTTCAAATTGCTTTTCATTAGCCCCATCCCCCAGAAAGCTGGCCATTTTGAAAAATGGGTGTTTTTCATGCATTTTAAGCACATTTGTGCTAATTCGTCATAGGGAAATGATTGGAAAAATTCCAATTTAGGGCAACCTAAGCACATATCCAATGTGATGCTACATTGCGAAGGAATAGTCGATCGCTTGAACATGGAGCTCGTAAGCTAATGGAGAATGTACAATTTTTGACCATTTATATGTCACATACTGACACACTCCTCTCTCCTCTAAATCAGTGTATCCTCGGTCACGGCTCCTCCAGACAGCCCCCTCGATAATCGATCCTCGACGAGCCTTTAGAGAAAGTAGTTTTCCTTCCAGACGGCGCGCCGACATGGACCTGGGAGTCTGGGACGCGAAATTAGAGAAATGACAAACGGCTCATTTCCGAGGACTCGCGCGCGTCTGCTTGACGCCGGGACGACCGGCCGCCCTCCCCGACAGGCGCACGGACGCGAGGGCCCGCTCATCACTGCGCGCACAAGTGCGACCGCAGTTTTAATTAATGTTGTATTTTTCCAAAAAAGACAAAAGTTTGCATATACTTTGTTCAAATATGCTGTTTTAATTTAATGTTGGATTAGTGTTGAAAAAGAAAACCTACTCCTTAAGCCAGGTTAAGACATAATGAAAGCACACAGGGAAGGTTGTATTCTACTCAACATCAAACATGATAGGAGGAAATGTGATCTAGCATTTAACTCCTACAACTGAGTTTAGTTAATTGATTTTATGTACTGTATTCATGCTTATAACCCACAGATCTTCTTATTCCCGTTATTTCCTCATTAGATATCACCATCTGCTGCTCAGTAAATCCTGGGAAATCATAAAAGGAATTCCTCAGGGCTGATGTTACATTTTCATTAAATATTTTCTGTACATGCTCTGTGGTATTCAGCAGTATGTGTAAATAAAAAATGATATGGGTATGCATGTTCTTTACAACACTACCTGCTTATGTAAAATAATTAAACATACTAAATCCAAATATTTTCTTATACAGTAAATGCTTATGTTTATAAGGTTTCAATCTGGTCTCTTTCACGCTCTTTCTCTCTCTCTGACTCATCGCCACGTATTCAGTTAATCTTGATGACACATGCATGCTTAAACTATCTGCCTCCCACACACACAGGCTTTCAGGTCCAAACAAACACAAAGAGAGAACATGTCCAACATATGCGGAGATGAGGAACAGCTGGAGCTAAAACATGATGGCCTCGTTGCTCTCTGTGTTTATTCTGGAAGTATTTGAGCAAAGCAGTTCAGCAGAAAGTTCCTCCCTGCAGTCCAGGCCGTAATCACTCTGCTCACATCCACGCTGGATTAGAGATACTGTTCACTGCTTGCTTTCTACTTGTGCTGAGAGTCCGATAAAGCAAGTGTTGAATGCTGCCCTTCAGACGAGTTATACAGCGTGAAGAGATAATTAGACGTGGTATGAATGCACACAATGTCAATGGGATTGGAAATATTACCAGATGCATTTTTGCAAAGGCAGCATAAAGTAATGCAATTACATATCGGATCTGGTTTAAGTTGTTTCTGTTTGAGCTTAATTTCAGTTCTTTTCAGACGATTAGCCAGTAAATGCAAAGAGAAAGGAGAAACTCCACTGGATGATAATAATACTACTTTTATGATACGCTTTCAAGCTGGCATAGCTCGTATCACAGGAAATGTCTGTCAAATCCCAGCCAGGCAACAGGCCCATAGATCCATGTAGCCAACAAACAGACTCCACGAGTACATTTAACACAAATAAAGCAAGACATTTTTCTCCTTGACTGATCGATCATAACAATAGTATTATAACTAGTGCTGTCAATCTTTAAAATGTAATCATTTGTGACAAATTCTGATTTAAAATGTTACGAAAACTGGCACATGCTTCGTTAAAATGCCCTTTTCTCAGTTATTCATCATCTGTCTGCAGCAGTTATGGTGGAGGTAGTGATGGGTCTTACTGGTGTCCAGTGGTCTCAAGTCAATACATGTGTCTTGTTCTTTCGCTATCTTTACCTTTTTAAATCCATGGGATTCATAGTAAACATCTAGGCTGCTAGTACAGGAACAACATCGGGTCAAACTTGGTGATGTGATTGATTTGTGTAATTGTTTTAAACTTAATTGTGAGCATTAATGTCACATGGAGATCCAAGCAAGAAGAAATCACACCACTCTTGTCCAGCTCCACTTCTTCCTTCCTTCCTTCCTTCCTCCTTCCCTCCCTTTCCCCCCCTCACCTTCAGAGGGGTTCTGCAGCACCAGGGTTTCCAGCTCGGACCACTCTGTGTTGAGCCTCTTCATCAGTTTGTAGGCGTTCACAGGGTGGGCCAGGTATCCCTCTGGGTCTGAGGTGGACAATCTGGTCAGAGCATCCAGTTTGTTGGCCCAGCTATGAGACAGACAGACAAGATGTTGGATTCTTTACCTCTGATATATGTAATCATGTATAACCACAGAGTCCGCCTCCTCTCTCCCCCACCAGTCATCCTCCCATCAATCATCTCACCTCCTCTCACGGTCATCTTCAATTGAGGAGGGGCTGATTCCAAGTTTGGGAATCACCAAAGTAATCTATCAAACTGAGTTTAAATGCAGTATATCAGCTCGTCACTGTAAATGCTATCCATATTGGTCTTTACTCGTGTTATGTCGACAAACCGAGATACTGTTTAATAATGTTGGAAAATAACCTTTTTTATGGATTACAGCGTCAAATTCATCTCAAGTTATTCCGCATATTATACATATAAATCAAATCTATTCAGCAACAGTCATAACACTAACACATCTGTATATCTTCATATCTGTTCAGCAAGAGATTTGTTAATAATTAAAGTCTTTAGTGGTTTTCTAACTTGGATTACCCTACCATGTTACATCATGTTCTCTTATGTTCCACTGGTTTCATCTTTGACTATGTGTTTTGTTTTATAAGCCCATCGTAAATGTTTTATTTTGAATCTAAATCTGGGAAGTAAATAAATAGTAATCTGAAACTCAGTCAACTGTAGTGGGAAACAAAGTAAACCTATTTCCTTAAAGGTAGTATTGTACAAGCATAAATGAATGGCATAAAGGAGCTTAACATGGAAATAATCTAACAAACAACAATTCTTTTTTTTTTTATTGTAATCCAGTACAGTACTTGAGCAACTCATTTAGTTGTTATTTGGGTTGTTGTCAAGTAACAGGGTTTAAGTATACCTTTTGATGGCAGAAAGTTTGGACTCCTCTGCTTTTATGTATTCACCCAGAGACTGGACCAACTCTTTCTCCATGTAGATCAGGTCCGTCATTTGGCCTGCAGAGAGAGAGAGAGAGAGAGAGAGAGAGAGAGAGAGAGAGAGAGAGAGAGAGAGAGAGAGAGAGAAGGTGAGTGTGAGGTGTCACTAGAGATAACATCAGCATCACCCTCTGTATTTACTTACATTTGTTTAAATTACAATCTTTTTTCCTTGCAAATCCCAAGCACACATGAGCCCATGCAGGAGATGAACCTGAACTTTACAGACTGCATGTTAACCGAAGTTAAAATAAATGCTCAGCCACAAACAGCTTTCAATTGTATAGAATTACTCAGCAAACTACAGCCAGGCATTCCTCATTGAGCCTTTGAGTGGAGAGTGTAAGTAGCATCTAAAACACTTCCATGAAAACACTGAGCCATCGTAAATATACATGGGGTTGCCAGGGAGGAGGAATAAGGAAACACTTTCATCGCTTCTGAATCAAAGGTATTCAAATGACTAATACAATGAGCAATGTATACATAGCATATGTGCAGTTTTTATAAATCACTGATCCGCTCACATACTAGATATAGGAATGAATTGGACAAAGGAAACATTTTGGGGGATATTTGCGTGATTGTATTATTGTTTATTGTAAAAGGTGGAGAAAGAGATTTATATTGGACCAGCATAAACCATTCTGATGTTTTTTCTGTTTACAAATTCTATTTAAGGCGTAAGTGGACCACAAGGATTTCTCTTAAAAGTTTTTTCAGTTTTATTCAAAATAAATGCAGACTTAACGGGCCTCTTCACCACATCCTCCTTCTAAAGACGTTTTTTATGGGAAAGTGAAGACATGCATTCCTGAGCTGCTGATGCCCCTCTTCAGGAAAACAGTCAATCAAACTATTATGATTATGACTATTAGAACGTTTTTTTTTCAAATAACTAAAATGAGATGATGTGCATCCGAATTAAATGGGACGGAAAAAATGTGACATAATTACATAAAAAAGCTTAAAGCGGAAACGCAACCAAAAACTTATTTTTTTTTATTTTTTTAATCACCATGGGAGTAGAGTATTGCTTTCATGGAAACATGCATGTTATTATCAGCCTTCTAAGGTCAATATACATATTTATAGCTAAGTACCACAATGTCACCTTTTAAATGAAAAGCATTATTGTAATAATTGGAATTTTGACACACTAATAATAATAACTTGGATCTACATAGCGCCTTTCAAGGAACCCAAGGAAGCTTTACAATAGGACGAGGGGCCGGGGGGGGGGAGGGGGGGACAAAAAGGAAAACAGTCACACAACAGGGGCGAGGAAATAAGATGATAAAAAACAGATTGAACAAAGGGTAGAGTAGAAAGTTAACTGAGGCTGAAGGCCTTGACTAACAGATGTATTTTGAGCGCTTTTTTGAAAATATCCACAGGGTCAGCAATCCTGATTTCAAGGGGGAGGGAGTTCCAGGGGTTGGGGGTTGCAACACTGAAAGCTCTGTTGTCAAAGGTTTTTAGTTTGGTGCGGGGGAGGGACCTGAATCAGAGGACCGCAGATGTCAGGAGGGGGTGTAGGTGGGCAGGAGGTCGGTGAGGAATGAAGGGGGCTAGTTCAAGGAGAGATTTGTAGGTGAGGAGGAGGAGTTTGTAGAGGATGTGGGACTTGACCTGGAGCCAGAGGAGGGGACGGAGGGTAGGGGGGATGTGCTGCCGGGGCTTCGTGTAGTCCAGACGAGAGGTGATTTGAGGCGTGAATAAGTGTTTCTGCTTCTGGGTCGGGAAGTGAGGGCCGTAGTCTTGATATGTTTTGAGGTGAAACAAGGCAGATTTTGTTATGGACCGGATGTGGGAGTTGAAAGAACGGGTGGGGCCCATAATAACACCCACACTGAGTTAAGAGACTCCCCTAATTGACCAAAGGAAATATGGAAGGAGAATAATTGTACATTTCAACATAACAATCAAAACCTACTTATGGAAGTGAAGATCTCTGCCTGTGTTGTCCAGCAGCAGCAGAGCAGAGCCCAGAGGACGAAAGACAGGAACTTCCTCATTCTGTCTCTTTCTATACCTTGCAGGGACAAACAGAATCACATCCTGTCACAAAAGATTCACACAATTCAAGCTCATTTTCCTGTTACAACTATAAAGCATTAGCCATTTTGACTCCCTATAGTTCTATAGATAGGGTTTGGCATATTATAGTCCTATTATTCTCAATCACCACATTCAACAGAAGCTGTGGAAAAATCCAACCGTTTCTCTTCTTAATATTCCGTTTCTTTATTTTTAAACAAATGATACCACATCACCTTCTAATTCTTGCAGTTAACTTTTCCCCGAGTCAACAGTTCATAGCAGTGATGGTGTGTTTCCGAATGAGATGATTGTCCCACATTAGTCAACGTTTCCATTATGTTTCCTGAAAGTGAGTCACTACTTCTTCTGGGAGGCATGTTGTCATAGTAACCTCCTGGACCAGTTCTCCTTTAAAAGAGTTTAATAAAGGACGATGTGGGGAAATAATTACATTTTCAGGAAGTATGTCTAGGTTTCACATAAGAGACAGAACCATATAGGAACAAAAAAGGAATAAGGCCAATGTACAAACATCTGGTTCAGGTAAGGTCAGTAGAAGTTAATTTCCCTTTTTTTGTTTCCACGCAGGAGTTCAACCAAGGTCGAATTGTCATGACTAAGGCCATAACTTTATAAATCTCTGTCTACTTTGATTAGATTAGACTTTATTGTTATTGCACAAACAAAGCTAGCTCTTCAGATACTTCATTCTTCACTTTGTTAACCAGCAAGTCACTAACTGTGTCAAAACGTGTGTAACATACCCAGCAAATGTATAATAGAATAAACAAGCTACATGGTTGATATGGAGCAGACAGCCCTAGTTCAAACAGCTGTATAAAGTCGGTTGTTTCAAAGGATAGAAGCAACATTCACTTTGTGGACTTTCAGCTGCTGAAGAGCCAACTACAGAGCTAGATTTGAAAAAGCTGGACTGAACAATGATGTATCACCTGGCAGAAAGTCTCTGCTCACAGTCCAGCCCTCAAACCAGCTGTGTTTGTGATCTAAGAGGGGAAAGTGACACTGCTCCACTTTCTTCTCTTGGATTTAGTCTAATCCTGCATCACCACATCACTTCTCACTAATGACTGTTTACTGCTGACTTCGTAAAGTGTGCACATACACATAAAACCATACTTCCCCATGTAGGACTACACACACACATACTTCTGTCTACACCGCTATCTTATCAAAGGCTTAGCGAGACGGGGGTTCTGAAGCAGAAAAGTGGCACCTTCATTTTAAGTGTGGCAATAGCTTTGAGAGGAATCTGCTTCAGGAGAAAAGACATCATTTCCCCTTCATGACACCCAAATACAAAGTGACTTTTTATTGTTGCAGATCATATAAGATCGCATAAGACAGAAACTTATTTTAAGCCTTAAGCCAAAAGACGCTAAGAGATCACAGTGTTTCCCACAGATCTGAAATATACTTGGGGGGGTGGTGGTAGCGCTTGTTAGCAGACCCTTCACGCGATGGCAGAGCAAACAGGTACAGGCAGGGCCCATGGTGATAGCTCTATAGTTTAAATCTACTACCCACACATAAACATATGGAAATGGGTTACTATTTTAAAAAATAAACGTATTTAGGAAGCTATCAATGTGATTTTAAGTGGGGGTTGACCTCAAATCCTCTAGGGGGGTCCGGGGGCATGTTCCCCCAGTAAGATTGTTTTTTTAATTTTGGAGTTAAATGCATCAATCTGGTGCATTTTGAGGGGGAAATAAAGAGACTAGATCTATGGAAACGCCTATATGAAACAGAACTGTATACATTTAAATAATCATAAAATCATGGCCATAACCAATAACATACCATTTCCAATATGAAAAAAACACTGAAACTTGTTTATTAATTTATTTTTGGTTCATTTATAGTTGTGAGTGTGTCTGTGCTCCTGAATCAGCCTCTCCTGTCTCTCTCCTCTCCTCCCTTCTCCTCTTTGAGGCAGCAGCAAAGACTAGTTTTTAGCTCTCAACAAGTTTTAAAAGTGTATCTTACCTTTTTTCACCTAGTTAACTTTTTATTTATTTATTCATGCATATTTTACTAATTACATTACATTTCATTTAGCTGACGCTTTTATCCAAAGCGACTTATAATGACCGATTACAGGGACATTCTCCCTGGAGTAACTAAAGGCTAAGTGCCTTACTCAAGGGCACACTAGTGGTGGTGTTCCTG